GCGGCCACCTCCGGGTTGCGGGGCGACCTCCTTGCAGCCTCGGCAGCCGCGCTGGGCGCCGCCGCCGAGCGCTGCGAGGATCAGAAGCGCGAGTTCTTCGATGCGGCGCGCAGCTGCAGTGCGGCCGGCGTCTCCTTCGCCCCCATGGCGATGGAGGCGCCTCGCTACTCCTCCAGAGGGAAAACGCGCGGGCCGTGCTCCGCAGGCTGCAGAGCCCCAGCAGGGCCGCCTGCGGCCAGACTGGCAGCGGCCACGGCGACTTGAGCGGCCGACGCTGCCTGAGCCGACCGCAACCGCGACCACCCCCAACGCCCCGCCCCTGCACCCCCTTCCCCTTGACCCAGACCACGACCTCGACCACCCCCGACCGCGACCACGACCAGGACCGCAACCGACGACCCCCAGACCCACGACGACCCGCGACGGCTCCCCGACGGCCGCCGCCGCCCCCCGCCCGCCCCCAACGTGCGCGCTTGCCTGCTGCTGCCTTTGCCGCCCCCCCCTCTCTTGCATGTTGGCGCCTGCTCGCCGTGTTCTCCCCCCTCCCCCCCTCGTCCCTCGCCCCCCTCCCCCGGCAGCGCGGCGTCTTCGTCTTGCCCTCGCCCGCCCGCGAAGGCGGCCGGCGCGGCCAGCTGCGGTTTTTGTTCGTTCCCTTCCGGTCTGGGCCAGGGGTTGCGGCTCGCAGGCCGGAGGGAGTTTAAGCGCGCTACCTCGGCGCGGCGGCGGGCTGGGTCGACAGCCGAAGGTTTTTGAAGGATTTTGGCATGCGCGCGCGACGACGCGCGCGCGTGCACTTCGTGTCCCATTTTGTCCAAAGGATTCGTGAACAAGTCTTATGTTCGAGCAAAGTCTGTCCCCGCGCATCGTTTTTTGTTCATATATAAAAAAGGGAACCTCAGCGGGGCCGATCCCGGCCCCTCCGGGATAGTGTAAATTCATAGTTGGGATGGACATGTGGTCATACTCGTATATGGTTTACATACCCGAAAGGGGGGCGGATAACGCCGGGGGGGGTCAAGTCTATGTTTTTTTTAGAAAGGAGAATGTATGCGACAGAGACGGCGGCGACGGGCGGCACCGCCCGCAAAAATCGCCACTCGACCCGAGCGGCGGCGACGGCGACGCTGGCGACGGGCGGCACCGCCCGCAAAAACCGCCATTCACCCCGAGATGGTTAAGCCAAGGAAGAACCCCTGAGTGCAAACACTGTTTGGGGGGAGTCCGTTGAACATCTTGGGATGGGGAGGCAGGGGAGGAAGTGACAGTGAGGGAAAAACAGCGGGGGATGAACGGGGAACGCGCAGCTCAGGCAGGCCTGGGGTTTCGGGGGTGCGTTTGGCAGTTTTTGTTTCTTCGACAGATGGGCGATGGGCCTGAGCGAAGCCTCCTTAACATGCACAGCGCTGCAACCCACAAGGCAATAACAATGGTAGAACAGAGCCAAGGGCGACGGACCCGGGACCGTCGTCGTGAAGGAGCGGATCGCGCAGGGGCCGAGCTCGCCGCCGAAACTGGAGTTCAGAACAGGGAGTGCTGTGAGGTGGAGCCGTTGGCCAGGACAGTTGGCGTGGGATTCCGCAGCCCAAACGTCGATGCGTAATGCCTAGATGCGTTGGTGCCGGCCAGAAGATTGTGCAATCCATGTGCAGCAAGGTATGTGGTGCAATTTGTGTGTTGTGATCTATGTGGTGCAATTTGTGTTGTGCAATATTATGCGTGCGATCTATGTTGTGCAATATATTTTGTGCAATAGAGGTTGCGCAATACAGGTTGTGCGATCCATGTTGTGCAACCTATGTGGTGCAGCCTATATGGTGCCACGCAATGCAAACCAGTGCAATGCAACACAAAGCGTGGTGGCGAGCAGGCGGCGACGGGGCGGCGACGGCGACCAAACAGCCGCCAGAAAGACGCACAAGCCCAGACGATGGGCGGCGACGAGGCGGCGACGGGGCTGCGACGGCGACCAAACAGCCGCCAGACCGACGCACAGGCCCAGACGATGGGCGGCGACGGGGCTGCGACGGCCACCACATAGCCGCCAGACCGACGCACAGGCCCAGACGATGGGCGGCGGCGAGGCGGTGATGGGGCGGCGACGGACAACACATAGCTGTCAGACCGACGGACAGGCCCAGTTCCTCAGAGCAGAATTTGTAGAAACATATTTTTATGGCATCTGCATCGAAGGTGTATGCATAGAACAGGAAAGCGCTCGGTTCGGCTCGGTTCGGTCAGGTTCCGAAGCGCCTCCGGTTCGCTTCGGTTCGGTCTGGTGTCGTAATCTTGCGGTTCGGTTCGGTTCGGTACGTTTATTTTTTGATTTCGATTCGGACTGGTTCCTGTTCCGGTTCGGTCCAGTTCCGGCCAGATCGCCGTCGAGGAGCGGTTCCGACCCCAGCCGATCCGTTTTCGTTGCCCTCCTTTCGATGCCGATGGTTCGGAGGAGGAGGAGGAGGAAGAGGAGGAGGAGGAGTAGGAGGAGGAGGAGGAAGGAGGAGGAGCAATTTTCGGTTCGGTTCGGTGTCGCAATTTTCCGGTTCTGTTCGGTTCGGTTCCCATTGACAAAAAACACCGGTTCGCGCCGGTTCGTTTCGGCCCAGTTCGGTTCGGCCGGTTCGGTTCGGTTCCGGAACCATCCTGATAAAAGAAGGGACTAGCTATAGACAGAGAGTGAATGTGTGTTTAGATCGGAGAATGCAGAATGGAGATAGTCGCGAGTCAGCTACAGAAGAGAGTCAGGCAAGATGCCGCGGCGGACACTGCAGGCAGATGCGACATGCCGCCCATTCAACCTTCTCATGGCACGAAGTTGGGCGACCCCCCCAGCTTGTTGTTCTTCAAAGCGCTTCTCGAACACATCATGCGTCCGCTTGCCACCACTTTGAAGTAACGCGACCCAGGCGTCCAACTCGGCTTCACAAAGGGCTGCAGCCTCATCAACCTGCGCTGTGCCGACGACTTCCTTCTGACGAGCCGCATTCTACCGCGCTTGGCGAACATGCTTGAACACCCGGCCACAACCGTACAACAATAGTGTCCTCGCATCCGTCCAGACAAGATTAATCTTTCGACGAGTTTGACCGAGAGGATCGTGAGAGCACGACTGGACGGGGTAAACATCAACGGCATGCAGACTTAATTTTGCGTTGCAGTGGGTCGGGCAAGTATTTAAGGCAGCACCTCAGTTTCCACGACGCCATACACACCGTGGTGCGTCATCGGCTTGAGACAAGCTGGGCAGTTTTCGTCGCCCGTAGACGGAAACATACCCCTTGATGCACATATTCCGACTTTTCGACGGCTTCGTCGCACCGACGGCATTAAATTGGGCGGCAACTTGGACTCTCGCCGAGCCTCTGCGACAACAGCTACGTTTCACCCAACGGCGTACATGACAAATAATTGTCGGCTCCCCAGGGCGACGCTGCACTACTGACACGACCCCGCTGTCGAGTGTGACTAAAGAATACGACGCAAGTGACGACTTCACCACGACCCCAGGGGGAAGGTGTGCACGGAGAAGCTAAGCACAATCGGCTGCCAATTGTCAACCTCAGAGTAGGCACCAGCAATGCAATCATCGACGACACCATCAGTCGCAACAACGTGGGACGGGAAATCGTTGAATTTGAACCGTGGCTTGATTACATTAAACGCACAAGGAGACAAACACAATACCTCATTCATTTGGGTGATGGGATTGCGAAGCAACGGCGAATGGCGTGGACATGTGCGGCGAGAGTCGCGAAACACCCCCTCAAGAATCGTCTCAATGTGCGGTCAACAGGCGCTCTAGCTTCAATGCTTTTCAGACAGGGCGCAGGAAGTCGTGAGGACAGCAGACGCGATGGGACAATGACACACGCGAGTTTGCCAAATCTACGGTGTGCGGGAGCGACCAGCCCGCAACAGTTACGACATTATCGACATCGAATGGTTGAACATGGCGACTGGACAGGAATTTTTGACGAAATTGGAAACGCTACTTGTCACGAGTTCTAATCCTGATGCCTCCCCGACGCCGGCCTCTCAGTAAATTCGCAGCTGGCCGGCCGTTTTTTGAGGGGCCACGGCCTCGCTTTTTCCGCCCATCAGGGGCGCAGGCGATCGCCCGAACGAGCGTCCCATCTCACTCCCATTCCCCGCCGTCTCCCCCTCGCGCCATCCCCTGACACGCGCCGTGCTGTGGCAAGGGCCGGAGCCGTCTTGCCGACGGGGCCGTCGCTGGCGCGGCCGGCTCAGGCTACTTACGTCAATGTGAGACATACGCGGCAGGTTACCGAATCATCATCTAATTTGGGGGAAAGCGACGTTGAAGGCGTGGCAACCCGACAGACCAGAGTTTGACTTGCGCGCACTCATTTGCACGCGAAGCCAGCCGAGCGGAACACAAGTTCGCAATGCAGTTAACGGTCGCCTTCGGATGAGCTCGGGCTCAGATGCCTGGTTGCAATGTGTGAATTTGGATTAGCCTGATAAGCTGGGGCGCTGTAACTACTGCAAGCGTCCAAGGGTAGACTTATCCACGAGCACGGGCGCACATACTAACATTCATCTTTTAGCAGTTTCCTGTAGTTCGATTTTTGTACTTCCCATCCCGGCACAACGAGTGGATGTGTGTGGTCCTTTTCAGGCTCTGCGGGTTTCATGTCGAAAATGCTTGTGGTTCCATTTGCTGCGCTATATCCGCTTGCCATCCTGGCTCGTTTATACATTACGACTTTGGGCGTCTGAATTTGCAGTGCGAAAACAATCAAACCGTGTGAAGGCACCTGGCAGCAGTGAGCCGAACACCTCCACCATCCCTCCTCTTGTAACGCGATTAGAACCCAGCTCCGCTGTTCGCCTCAATGTGCCAGCGCAGCGCCCACGCCAAGGTCGCTGACGCCGTCCCTCAAGACACCACCCAAGTATTGCCGCCGCGGACCCCCTTGCGCGGGCAATGCTGTTTGATTCCGAGAGCCCGCTCCGTGTGCGCAGTTTTCTCTGTATCCCAGGCGGCCATTCGACGTGGACGCCGCCTTCCCCGTCGACGCCGAGGGGAGCTTGGCCGGGTTGGTCGTGACGCTTTCGCAGGATCGGCAGTGATTGCTGTCGTCGAGTCGCACCCGTCTACGTATTTCTACGCCTCCTTCTTGCTTCCCTGCCACATCTTCAATCCATCTTTTGTGAGGTAGGTGGTCGGTATGGTAGCCGCATTGCGCGTTCGTGGGCGTGGGTATGCTTCAACGCTAAGGCCTTTCGGCTCCAGTTCCCCTGTTCATCGCGCACAACCGCCACCACAACTCCTCATGTGGAGAAATGGCAAAGCGTTGCGTCGCAAAACGACTTGTGGTCGCAATTTGAGGATGGTTACGTACACCGTATACCGTTACCTACACCGTACATGTTTTCTCCCGACGGAGTGGGCGGACTTTGGCGCCCATTTCCAGCCCCGCGCGCGGCCGCCCTCACGGGCGAATTGGGAGTCGCCTCGCCTCGTCTCGCCTCCGTGCTTCTTCTGGCCTCCTCTCACTTCCCTTCTCTCCCCTCCGGTTTGTTCGGGCTCCCTTTTTGGGCCCGTCTTGGGGACGTCCTGGGGGCCTCTTGGGGGCCTTCCTGAAGTGATGTTGGGACCTGTTGGGCCATCTCGGACACTCACAGGACCGAAACCGTGAGAGTGAACCACCGTTTCAAGGCACCGGGGGAAGTCTCGCGGGAAGGCCCCAGAAGCGCGCAGTAAGCGCTTGGTGATCGAGGTCCCGGGACCTTTCGTGATACCGGCGGGCCTGGGGACGCTCTATTCTGAGACGCAGTGCGGTCAAGATGCTGAGGTAAGGACCAATTCTTGACGCTTCGCGTATCTTCACCAGTTTTCGCGCCTTCTGTAGCTAATTGGGATTGCCCGTTTGCCCGGACTCCCTGCCCGCCGCCTGCCTCTTCGCTTGCGGCCGCGACCGAAAAAGTATCTTCACCAGCTTCACTTGGCTGCGGCCACCCTGGTACCTTCGTAGTCCTACGGGGGCCTACGCCCTTGCACGTAATTTCCACGCACCTCGCAGTCCCTGGCCGCCGGCCACCCTGGCCGCCAGCTGCTCTCGACGCGTTGCACGCGTGCACCCTGGCAGTACTGCTCCCCAGTTCGCTGTCAGCCGTTTCCCACTCGCCGGCCCGGCCGCTGAGGTGCTGCGTGAGGCTCCGGCCCACCGCTTCAGGTTATTTCGTCTTTGCCCGCCCCGCTCTGACTGGACTCGCCGCTGGCGCGCTCGCCTGCGGCTGCTGACTAAAACATATATCTCCACAAGCGTCCGTAACCACCCTGGCTCAAGCCTTTGGCTCAAGGCGTCTGGGTTCGAGCTCGCCTCCGTCTCAGGTGCGCGCCCCGGCCCGTGGGATGGAGGCCCGTGTCGCGGCGGCGGCTGCGGCGCGAGCGGCCGCCTCCGCCGCCGGCGCCGCAAGTGCTGCTGGCGCCACGGGCGCCGTGGGCGCCGCGGGCGCCGCTGGCGCCGCACGTGCCGTGGGCGCCACGTGCGCCGCGGGCACCGCCGGCGCCGCGGGTGCGGCGGGCGCCGCAGGCGCCGCGGGCGCCGCCGGCGCCGCCTGCGCCGCGGGCATCGGGCGCCGCGGGCGCAGCGGGTGCCGTCACGGGCGCCGCGGCGCCGCGGGCAGCGTGCGCTGCTGGCGCCGCCAGCGCCGCCTTCGCCGCCAGCGCCGCGGGCGTCATGGGCGCTGCGGGCGCCGCGGGCGCCGCGGGCGCCGCGGGCGCAACGCGCGCCGCGGGCGCCACGGGCGCTGCTGGCACCGCGGGGCCACGGGCGCTGTTGGCGCCGCCTGCGCCGCGGGCGCCGAGGGCGCCGTGGGCGCCGCGGGCGCTGCGGGTGCCGTGGGCGCTGCGGGTGCCGGCGGGCGCCGGGACTTCCGATTCTCTAGTGATCGCGCTCTCAGCCGCCACTCTGACAACATCGTGGGCTCCTTCCTCCCTTTCACCCTGGATGTGCGCCCTTTGTCGTGCAGGAGGGGGTGCCCCAGCTCGGTGCTCCTCGATACACACCAACAGTGCGACCGTTCGTCGTTAATTACCCTGGCACCCCTGGCAGGCACGTTGTGTCTCTTCGTATCCTGGCAATCCTGGCGGGCACGAAATTCTGCGGACAGGTCTGGCGGTGCGACAGGACAGGCGGACACTCCCTTGGCCCCTCACCCCTTTCAGCGTCCTTGGGGCAGCAGTGCGGTGGGCGCTTGAAAGGCGTTCGACAGCGCCCCCTCCTGGAGACAACATCGCGGCGATAGTTGGCAACGCTGCAAAGGGCGCGCCCGCGCTCGGAGACGTTCCTTGCAAAATAGGCAGCCAGGTGCCTGTTTCCGAATTCAGTTGCAATAGTCCTCTGGGAGAGCTTCAGACTGAACATGTGGTTGTGTGCCACAGCGTGCTGGTCCCTCCCCCTCCTCGTCATAGGGGGATCGTCCTCCTGGCTGCTACTCGCTCCTATCAGCGCCATTGGGGCAGCGTCGGTGCGGGGGCTGCAGATGCGACCCGAAACGCGCCCACTCCTGGAAGCATTGCCACGGGGAGATTTGAGGGCGCTGCTGAGGGCGCACCCGCGCTCGGAGACGTTCCTCGCCATTCTGACAGTCACGAGTTTGTCTCCGAAACTGCAACCTTCAGCTGCAACGGTCCTCTGGGGGCGCTACAGATCGAGCGCGCGGTTGTCAGCCACCGCGCATCTACTTCTCCTCCCCCTGGAGACTGGCAGACGGACCCCCGTTGTACTCCTCGCTCCTATCAGCGCCCCTGGGGCTGGTTCGCGGAGGAACCCAGAAATGCCGTCGAACGCGCGCTCCCTCCTGGGGACAGAACCGCTGCGATAACTGGGGGCGCTGCAGAGGGCGCGCCCGCGCTCGGAGACGTTCCCCCCAATTCAGACACTCAGAGATCTGTTTCCGAAAGTGCGGCCTTCAGCTGCAAAAATCCTCTGGGAGAGCTCGAGACTGATCAGGTGGTCGTTTGCCGCGGCGCGTCGGCCCCCCCCCCCCCCCTCCGGGACGCGGGCAGGCGGGCCCCCATAGTGCCCCTCACTCCTATCCGCGTCCTTAGGGCAGGTTCGCGGTGGAGGCCGGAAATGCGTTCGAAGGCGCGCCCCCTCCTGGAAATAATGTCGCTGCGATGGCTGGGGGTGCCTGGGGCGTTGCAAAGGGCGCGCCCGCGTTCGGAGACGTTCCTCGCAAGCGTGACAGTCAGGACTTAGTTTCCGAAAGTGCAGCCTTCAGCTGCCACTGTCCTCTGGTAGCGCAACAAACCGACAGTGCGACGGAACAGGCGGGCGCCCCTCCGGCTCCTGATGCCTATCGGCGCCCCTGCGGCAGCTGCGCGGTGGAGGCCGGCAAGGCGTTCGACGGCGCCGCATTTCCTGGGCGCAGGGCCGGGCCCTGGCGGCGGCCGGGGGCGCCGCAGAGGGCGCGCCCGTGCTTGGAGACGCCCCTCGCAATATGGGGCCTCAGGAATGCGTTGCGGGAAGCGCGGCCGTCGGCTGCAGCAGTCTTCAGGGAGAGGAACGCGCGGTCGTCTGCCGCAGCTTGTCGCCCCCCCCCCCCTGGAGGCCGGCAAGCGGGCGCTCGTGCGGCCCTTCGCCCCCGTCGGCGCCCCCGGGGCAGCTGTGCGGTGGAGGCCGGAGAGGCGCTCGACAGCGCGCCCCCTCCTGGAGACAGCGCCCTGGCGACAGTAGGGGCGCGGCAGAGGGCGCGCCCGCGCTCGGAGACGCCCCTCGCCCACTGGAGACTTAGGTGTGTGTGTGTGTGTGTGTGTGTGTGTGTGTGTGTGTGTGTGTGTGTGTGTGTGTGTGTGTGTGTGTGTGTGTGTGTGTGTGTGTGTGTGTGTGTGTGTGTGTGTGTGTGTGTGTGTGTGTGTGTGTGTGTGTGTGTGTGTGTGTGTGTGTGTGTGTGTGTGTGCGTGTGCGTGTGTGTGTGTGTGTGTGTGTGTGTGTGTGTGTGTGTGTGTGTGTTCGGAGAGCGCGGCCATTAGCTGCATTGCCTTCAGGGGAAGCTCGAAGGTGTGCGCGTGGCCGTCTGCCGCGCGGCCGCTAGCTGCAGCGGTCTTCAGGGCGAGCTCGGGGGCGAACCCGCGGTCGCCCGCCGCAGCTCGCCCCCCCCCCCCCCCCTCCGGGAGGCCGGCAGGCGGGCGCCCATTCGGCCCGTCGCCCCCGTCGGCGCCCCTGGGGCAGCAGTGCGGTGGTGGCCAGACAGGCGCTCGACAGCGCAGCCCCTCCTGGACGCAGTGCCCTGGCGACAGTTTGGATCGCTGCAGAGGGCGTGCCCCCGCTCTGAGACCGTCCCCACAAAAATGAGCCTCAGGGGTGTGCATCGGGAAGTGTGGCCGTTCGCTGCAGCGGTCTGCAGGGAGAGCCCGAGAGTGAACAGGCGGTCGTCCGCCGCAGCATGATGTCTCCCCCTCCCCCTCCTGGAGACCGGCAGGCGGGCACCCGGCGGCTCCTCGCGCCCATTGGCGCCCCCGGGGCAGCAGCGCGGTGGAGGCTGGAGAGGTGCTCGACAGCGCGCCCCCTCCTGGACGCAGGGCCCCGGCCACTGTTGGGGGCGATGCCGAGGGCGCGCCCGCGCTCGGAGGCTTTCCTCGCAACGTGGAGTCTCAGGGGCGTGCGTCGGAGAGTGCGGCCGTTAGCTGCAGTGGTCTTCAGGAAGAGCTCGAGAGTGAGCACGCCGTCGTCTGCCTCAGCTTGTCGCCCCCTCCGTCTCCTGGAGGCTGGCGAGCGGGCGCCACTGCGGCCCCTCGCCCCTGCCGGCGCCCTTGGGGCAACAGCGCGGTGGGGGCCAGATGGGCGCTCGAGAGCACGCCCCTTCCTGGAGGCAGTGCCGCGGCGGCAGGTGGGCGCGCCGCAGATTGCGCGCCCGCGCTCGGGGGCGTGCCTCGCAAGTCAGAGCCGCGGGGGTGTGCGTCGGAAAGTGCGGCCGCATGCTGCAGCGGTCTTCAGGGAGCGCTCGAGAGTGATCACGCGGTCGTCTGCCGCAGGCAGCTCGTCGCCCCCCCCCCCCGTGGGGGCCGGCGGACGGACGCCCGTGCGGCGGGGGCTTCGATTGATCGCCCGGTATTCTCTGGAATCAAGCCGACGTTCCAGTAAGGGCTACCGTTAGTCACTTCAGTTCCGCTCCTGTCGCAGACAGTGCGACCGTTAGTCGCTTCCCTGGAAGTGCCCCCAGCGCAGAGACGCCCGCCGCTGGGGGATTCCCTCACTTGCTGAAAGATTAAGGTTCTCATGTTGGGGTCATGCAGCCGTTTGCTGCAGTCGCCCATGCGCGCCCCTATCTCTCCAGCGCCTCGCGACTTGGCCTGGCCACCGCACGGCGCTTGTCCAGCCCCCCCGTTGTGGACCAGGCCCCTGGCGCTGTCAATACTTGGCGCGTTGCCCTGGCTGGGGCGAGGCGCATGGCGCCGGTGCGCGGCCTGCCCCCTGCTGCAGCAGTGCTCATTTTGGGTCCACCGCCCCTGGCCGCAGCGAGTTGCAGCCCTCCGCTGCTGGCCCAGTGTCGTCCTGTGACGGCCCCGGCGCGGCGCCCGGCTCGGCCTCCCCGCCCTTGGGGGCCGGGCCCCTTGGCGCCGTCAATTCCGGGTGCGCAGGCCCCCGCTGGGGAGGGGGGGGCGTGCCTCGCGGCCCCGGCCGTTGGCAGTGCTCTTTTTTTTGTCACCCTGGCCACTGCCCGGACCTGGCCACGGCCTGGCTCGTTTCCTTGGCACTGGCCCTTCTGCCTGGGCTCCAGTCACCGCCGCCCTCGGTGCTTGCGGCCCTGTGCCCATCTTGGCGTTCAACGCGCCTGACCACAGCGGGTTACAGCCCCCCGCTGCTGGCCCAGTGTCGTCGAGTGTCGGCCCCAGCGCGGCACCTGGCTCGGCCTCCCCGCCCTCGGGGACCCGGCCCCCTGGCGCCGTCAATGCCGGGTGCGCAGGCCCAGCTGGGGCGTGGCGCGACGTGCCTTACGGCCCTGGCCGTTGCTGTAGTTGTTTTCACCATGGCAAGTGCCCGGACCTGGCCACGGCCTGCTCGGTCTCCCTGGCACTGGCTCCTCTGCGTGACGTCTTCGGCTCGCGCCTCTCTGTCCCTCGCGCTTGGCCCCTGCTCGGCTCCGTGGGGTCGGCTGCTGACTTGAGGCGCTCTGGGGACTTGCGTCCTGTCCAGTTCCGGCGTGAGTGTCTGCGCTTCCTCGGCATCTGGTCCTGCGTCATTGCCACAGATGGCCGTGTCTGTCAGCGTTGCTGGCCCCCTGGGGTTCAGGAGTGGTTCAGCCTTCTTGAACGGATTTGCGCGCCCCCCGTCGGTCCGCTGTCACTCGCTGGGCTATCATGTGGTCCCGCGCTTCGCCGCGTCTGTGGCGCACCGACCTCTGGTGCGCTGTGGCGACAAGGTCCTCCTACGTACCTGGTGATTCAGCTCCCGTGGTACCCGCGCCAGTTTCGGCACGAGTGCGTGCGTTTCCCTGGCTTCTGGTTCCCTGTCCGCTGGCCCTTTGGGACTCTGGGCCGCCGGTTCACTCAGGAGTGGTTCGGCCTTCTTGTTCGGCCGGCGTGCCCCCTGTTGGTCCGCAGCTCTGACCTGTGGCGCCCTGTGGCACAGGTTCAATTCACATACCTGGCGATTCAGCTCCCATGGTACCCGCACGTTTGCAGCTTCCCGGCAGCTTGCAGTCCCCACCCTCGGCGCTGCAGCACAGCCCCGGCGCAGCCGCTTCCCCCGGCGGTAGGTCCCGCTTAGCTCCGCGCGCGCGCCGGCAATTAGTTCCGCTCGTAGCCCGAGCTGACTCGATTCGCCGCTGGCGCCTTCGCCTGCGGTTGCGACAAAAAAGTATCTCCACCAGTCCCGGGTCGACCGTTGACGCCGTCTGCTCCTTCGCTTGCGGATGCGACGGCAAAAAAAAAACACCGGCCCATCCAGAAATGATGCCCATGAGAGTTGACGGGGGGAGTGAGGAAGAGACACGCGTAGTCAATCAACGAGGGAGGCTCCGTGCTCCGTGGCCATCTCGAGCCGTCTTGGAGCGGTCTTGGGGCCGCTTGGAGCATCTTGGGAACCATCTTGAGCCAGCTTGGGCTTTTTGAGCCATCTTGGAGGTCATCTTGGGCTCTCAGAGGCCGCTCGGGGGCCTCTTGGGGGTCTTTCGGGTGCCTCTTGGAGGCCTCTTGGAGGTCTTTCGGGGTTTCCTGGGCATCTTGGGGGCAGTCGGTGAAACGAGGGGGGGCGCTCGACTTGTGTCCCCCGCTCCGGGGCCACGATCCTCGTGAGGGGTGGCAAAAATGGCGCTTTCAATGGCCGAACAAGGAACCTCCGACACCTCGCGATCCCTCCAAAAAACCTCAGGGAGGGGAGGGGGAGGGCTCCCCCCCCGAAGGGAAGAGGGGTTGTGGAAGAGGAAATGGACCCTCGTTAGACCACCAGGGGGAGGGGCAGGGGCGCGCTCCTTGGATCTAGGTTGATTCTAGTCGTAGCCGTGACCAGAAACAAAAACCCATTCGTTCCCTATTCAGCGGTCGTCATGGTAGCACGACAGCTGTACCCAGTGCTTGCGACACGGCAAGCTCATCTGAACGTCTCAGGCAGAGCGCACTGCAAGCTGTGGGGGTGCTCTCGATTTCTCTCTGTGGGGGCCTCCCTGTCGAGATCCCCGGAGCTCGCACTCGTCTGGCTCAGGGCAAAGCCGGATCTGGCTGCGCTGCCGCTCGTGTCTGCCGCCGCGCTGTTTTGTGGGGTGTCGGGGGGGGGTCCGAGGCGGGGATTTGTCCTTAACCGCCGCCTGGGGGATCCAGCTTCGGGGGCCTCGGGTGGTGGTGGATTGGGATACATTCGGGCCCAGGTGGGGCCACCGTCCACCGACAGCTGACAACAACCAACCTTCCACCTCCAGCGTTCGACCTCCATCGATCGACCTCTCGCATCATGCGGCCGACCCCCAGCCTTCAGCTTCAGACTCACAGCAATCACCGCCAGCTCCCACCATCCAGGCTTGCACCTCCAGTTTTCGACTTCCAGCCTCAAGGGCAAGGGCATCAGTTTCAGCTTCACTGGCAACATATACATTTGGAAGGTACCACAAAGGAGCATTGAAACAAAACTGAGCAGGACTTCTGATCATGCTTCGTTTTCTGACGCTCTGGCGCTCCGGCGCCGCACCCGCAGCACCCTAGACAGGCCCTAGACGGTGCCCATGCGCGGGCGTGCTTCATGTCCACCGCACGTCGAGTCCCCCGAAGCTCGCTCCCCCAGGCGGTGGTTATGGATAAATCCCCGCCTCGCAGGGGAAAGGCTTCCTGATGCACCCCGAGGCTTCCTGGAGGGGCCCGTGCCCGTGACTGCGCTGCATCTTCCCTCCTGCCCCTGCCCCCGCGGTGCCCGCAGGAGGGCAAGTCCTGCCCGCTTTCCACGCGCACGGTGGGGTACGCCGGCATGCCGGAGCTAACGGAGGCCCGCCTCCGTCTGCAGCGCCGCCTTTTTGTCGATTCAGGGGAGGGCGAGTTGATCTTCGGGGGGCCGAGGAAGAGACGGCGGCGGCGGCGGCGGTGGCCGCGGCGGCGGCGGCGGCGGCGGCGGCGGCGGCGGCGGCGACGACGACGACGACGACGTCGATTTCGACTTCGACGACGACGACGACGACGGCGACGACGGCGGCGGCGGCGGCGGCGACATCGGCAGCGGCGGCGTGTGGCAGCAGCAGCGGCGGCAGGATGTGTTCCTTCAGCCAGAAAATGAGAACGTAGGAGAAATCCTGGCTCTCTTCTTTTAATGCTAAACCTTAACGCAAAACATTGACCCCCTGTTACGCAGCTCCCAAGTTCTACCAGGTTCCGCTCCCTAAACGAATCTGCTGCTGTGGCACACTCGGCCGCTGTTGTCGTGGACAGCCCCCACGGAGAGAAGAGAGCACTGTATGATAAGGCACTACTGGAAGGATGAGATTGGGTACTCTTGGGAAGAGAGGGGGAGAGGGAGAGTGGGAGAACCACCGACCGGCACACCAACCTGACCATAGGAAGTCTTCGAGTCTGTTGTTCGGCAATCCTCCCAGGAGAGAAGGCTGTCTTGGGCGAGTCCTTTTAGAGAGGCGGCCTGGGTCCTGCTTTTAAGTCCAGGCTGGGCTCGTCGTCTCTCGACTTCCCCTCCTTCGTCCACGAGCGCAATGCGGCCACTAGACATCGATTCAAAAAGGGCCGCGTTACATTTGAAGACGTCGTCCTTCGTGAGGGCGTCTACAGGCATACGGCCGTGTGGTATCCAGCGCACTCTGCCTTCTGCTCTCTCGAGGGCATCACATATGATCGCTAAGTCAATCGCCGTCCTCCTATCCCGTGCTCCCGCATTCCCCTCCTTCATCATCGTGTCGTATATGCTTTTTGCGTCCACGACGTGGACCTGCTCCTCCTGGGACCCCAGACGACAGTCCCTCCAGAGGACTGGTGAACGGCCCGGACTCGCGGTGATAGTCCTGGATATCGATGTCCCTGAAAACCACATCTCGGTACAGGAGCTGGACGTATTCCACTTCTGCCACGGCTGAAGAAAGGGCCTGCGTTTCTCCGGCGAGAGTCGACGGCATTTTTCTTCTGAGCTTCGATGAACGCCACTCGAGAATAGAAGCCTTGACAGAGTGGTTCTCCAGGACCCCCCTGTCAGCGGCAAGTACCATCCAGGCTCCCTGTGTAGGGTCTTCTGGAAGACCAGCATCATCTGTGAGTCCTCCAGACGCTCTGACGCCCTTTGCATCAGAAAAAGATAGGAAGGCCATTCTCTCGGGATCGAGATGCCAGATGGTGATACCACAGGAGCAGTAGTGCGCAAGTGCTTCACTGGCTTGTTCGCCAGAGTGACATCACCCGTGGTGGGCGGGCGCAACCGACTGGCAAATACTAGCAACTCCGGCAGCTTCGGGACGCGACTTACGGCCCACCCAATTGAATTTGTAGACCAGGGAATTTATTACTCGAAACTCGGAGTCCTCCAGTGGGCTATCCTTCCTGGCTAAGCGGCGCCGGGCATATTTCTCTTGGTCGATAACCGCCTTCTTGTGGCCGAACGTAACTCGACGGCCGGCGAAGTCGGTAGGTTTGGCGTGACAGTCCTTGTATTTATCGAACTGGAAACGTTTCTCTAGCAATGCTCGTAGCCAGGAACGCGTCTCGGCCGAATAACTCCCGATAATGAAGTTATGAATTTCAAGCAGCACCATGTTCAAAATCTCCCCCCTGGACCCGTATCGGAGCCACCAACATGGCTCCAGCAACGACCTATCAAACCCGTTCTGCTCCAGAAGCCCGGTGACCGTTTTGCGCCAAGCGACTGGCGCATTGTCGAGGCCATACACGTTGGCCTTCAGAGGAATCAAGCTGCCCTTGGGCAGATCGATCCCTTCACAGGGCTCAACGTATATTTGACCCGTTGATCTTGTCATCGGATTGCTCTGGCAGAACGCGTTCTTGACATGTGCTATATCCGCGAGCATCTCAAGGTTGGCAATGACTTGGATGAGCATCATGATGCTGCTAGTCTGAGGGGTGGGTGCGTACACTAGGCGTGAAACGGAGTCCGGGTCTTTGTGACCATGGACGCACCACCTGGACTTTGCCTTGGGGGGTCCATTCTATTGGATACGATGCGATTTGGCTGGGTTTCCCGGATATCCTTAGCCGGACCAGGATGGATGATTTCGGTGGCCCCGGTTTTCATCATGGAGTCCCACTCCTTTGTGCCAGAGATGCAAGCTTGGCTCTTTCGTCGGGTCTCAGCTTTTTCAGGCAGACCGCTCCCCCCCGGCTCGCGGCAAACGTGCCTCCATCGCTATCCGGGTCCTCGGGAACCCCCTGAAGAGGTTGAATTGAGGCCCCCCGGCTCTTCCCGAACGAAAAAAACACAAAATCCTCAGCCTCATCTCCTCGCTCCTTCCTGCGGTCGGGCGTATCTCTGGGAGGGGAGCGACTCCGCCCTCTCGCCCAGCCCTCGATCTCGTCGACCAGCTCGGCGACCCGTCGCTGGGACTCGGAGCTGGTGGCGACCGGGAGCCTGGCAGCGGCGGAGTCGCCCGGGACCCCCTCTTCCTGACCCGTCCTCCGACCTGTGAGTTTTCGAGGCCCGGCGGGGGCTGGATCAGAGGCGAGGGGAGGGGCAGGGGTCGGCGGTTGGCCTGGAGAGGCGGATGCTCTTGTGACGCCGTCCTCCGGCCTGGTGCCTCGGCTCGGTTCCAAAGCTCCGTGTCGGTCGTCGCGAGAAGGAGGATCACTACGGGCTCCTCACCAGCATCAGACGGTTCTCGGGTCCCGGCGGTGTCTGGCTGGGCGGACACCGATCCCTTTTCGGATCCCGGGGAGGCCCCCGGAGGCCTCGCCTCCGGCCCGGGCGCGGCAGGGGAAACGGGCCCGTCGAGGGAGCCTGGGGCTCCTCGGGAGCCTCCTGAGGCTCGGGCTCCGGGCGCCGGATTTCGGGAGCCGCGTCGGGTCGGTCCAGGATCCCGTCATCCCAGGCCTCCTCGGGAGGTGGTCCCTCTCGGGCCACGTCCACGGCCGATCCTCGTCGGGTGCTGAACTGTTTTACCAGGTCTTGCCACTGGGGGCTCTGAGACAACTGGATCCCGAACTCTTCCTCTTGACTCGCCAGTCTAAGCTGCTCTACCGAGCATTTCCAGAGGCGCGCGCGCACCGCGATCCACACCGTGTGTCCCTCGCAGAAAAACAACCACGCTTGGGCCGGTCCACCCGTCTTTCCTTCCACCTAGGGCATCGGCTCGCGACGAGGTGCGGGCGGAGTGCGAAGCGCGGCTTATCTTATCGCGAGCGGTCGCCTCGAGGGCGAGCCGTCTAGCCGCCTCGCGGACTCGATGCGCTCTCGCAAACTCGGCGCCTGCTGCGTCTTGCTCCGAGGGAGGTCTGATAATATCGTGCCATCCTGGGATGGCTGTGTCATCCAAGAGAACCTCGTGGGGAAGCCTGGGGTTTTCTCAAAACACAAGTTGCATTGGCGAAACCCCCCGCGATGCCAATACACATTCTTATGAGCGACCAGCTCCCACATTAGCTCGTCCAGATCCTCTGGGGTAGCCACAACAGACGCTCCGGCCTCGATCTCGGCCTTCAAACGTTCTTTCACCCACCCCCCGTGTCTCTCGACTCTGCCGTTTGGCCACGGGGAGTCCGCATCGCAGATGTGATGCTTGACTCCCCGCTGTTCAAGTCCCCTGGCAAAGCGTTCCCCGAATTCGGGTCCCCCATCAGACATGAGGAAGTGCGGGGAACCGAACGGCCTGAGCCAACACTCCGAAAAGGCTCGCCACACATCCGCGGCTCGGGCCCGAGGTATCCGCGTGCACACCTGAAGGTTGTATCCATGATCCACTATGCTCACAATGGGGTGGGTGACTGACTGAACCTCAAGAGAGATCTATGGCCACGATGTGATTAAAGCGAAAAGTCCTAGGCATGGCCACCCGTCGGTGGTTGCTCGTCCTGTGTCTTTCCTGACGCTCGTCGCATCGGAATTTTTCTCGGGTCCAACGGATGAGGTGCGGCTTGACCCCCCCCGGCCCTGAGGACCCTACAAACTTCCTGGGGTCCGGATGCCCGGGGTGCGCCGTTTTGACATGAACTTTGTGCATCAGACGTTTCTCGTCCTCAGTGAGCTCTTGGCCTGGATCCTGGAACACCTTGCTCTGGGGAGGGGGCCTCGCTTCCTGCTCATCCTCGCTTCCCTCACTTTCCTCTGTGGCTTCCGCATCGCCCTCTCCGGGCTCGGCTCCCGCCGCTTCTGCCGGGAAGGCTTCTTCAAGGTCGGCCCACATAGAGGGGAGTTTTTCGTCGGCGCCGCTTCGGTGTTCTGTGACGGCCCGGGCCACCAAACTCACCAGTCTAGGAGGGTATCTCGCCGCCTTGGAAGTCTTAGACCTCCCCTCGAGCACCGCATGCCGATGGTCACCCAGACACAAGTGGCCCCCTAGGAGTCTGATCAGATGGGGGTGGTTCGTTCATATGCCCGTAGGTTTCTTGTTCAGCCCTCGGTTGTCAACCTGCATGCCGAACCGACACAAAGCGACACATATCGATCCTTCGTCGTCTCACTTGAGGTAGAGCAGCGATCACCCCGACCACTTCGGTCTCCCACGATCCGGCAAAGAGCGGATGATCGAACGCAAGGTATCGATCGTGATCGTGTTGACATTGGGCGATCTCCATACACAGTGTCAGATCGCGTAGTCCCTCGAGGACTTCCGAGCGCCATTTCTCCGGATCCTTCTTGTCCCGATTCAATATGCTAATGGCAGAGAAGATCCTACATCCGGAAGACAGCCATATCGTGCTGGGCTTCTCGGACTCGATCTGGCACCAGAGATCTCGAACGTGACGACTATTAGAGGAGTCCCAGCCCAGGAGAAGATCGCGGCTGGGTTGCTTGCCTAGATTCCCTCCTCTCTTCTCGACCTTGGGGGCTATCCGTGGTGGAGAGAACACTTAGAGGAAGGTCGTCTTGGATCCGTTGGAGGTCCCCCGGGGCCCGTCTCGGACGGCTTCCGCCAGCTTCCGCATACCCCCTTCTGCCAGCCTCTAGAGGGCCTCTCAGACCCTGGGGTTCCAGGCGATTTCGTGGTCATCATTATAGATGCCACCGTCTTTCAAGCTTTCCTCAAGCCCCTCTGGAGACTCGGCCGCCTGACTACCCTCAGGCTCCTGGGCAAATCGAACTACTGGGCAGCAAGAGCAAACTGATATAAAATGGGTGAGGGACTGCTTTGACTGTGGCTTGGCCTCCTCGGAGGGCTGCTGGCAGCCCTGTCCGGCAAGATAGGCTGAGAAGGGCCTGTGTCGAGGGCTTCTCGACTCAGATGAGCTTCAAGTCGTCCCTCTTCTTCGGAGGCGACGTCGGAGTGGTAGTGATGGTGGTCGGTGGTCCGCCTCCTAGCTGCTCGGACGCCTGGCTGCCGTCGAGCTGGTTCTGCTGGTGGATCAGAGCGGCTATGCCGGTGCCGATCTGCAGCACCATTTGCACCAGCTGGTCGACTCCCTGCTGGGTGGAGGCCAGTTCGTCGAGAGTCCGTCGATGTTCGTCGGCAGCGAGTCGAGATGCTCCCCGAAGTACTCGAAGGTTCCCAGCATCATCCCAAGCTGATGAAGCTGAAGGTTGATCTGAGCCAGCCCCTCCTCGATCTGCTGGGGGGCTGTTCTGAGCGCTCGTGGCGAACTCCGACATCCTGTCGAGCACCGACTGGACGTTCGCGAGAGCCGTGATTCCTTCCGGCAAGTGATGGAGCTGCCACTTCAGATTCTGCAACATCGAGCTCAGGCCGTTTACGGTGTTGAGCTCTGCTGCTCTGGACTGGAACCCGTCCTGCTGCTGCAGAATCTCCACTGCACGCTGTGCTGACTTCGCTGCTGACCGAGCTGCTTCCGCCGCTGCGGGAGGGCGTTCGTTCTGACTCATCGTTCCTGGCTGCACTTCCCCGCGGGGAACCTACGCCAGGCGCTGTCGGCAGAGGGTATCGCGAGATCCACTCCCCCACTGGTTGCCATAGTACTTCACGTACTCGATCGGGTGGTCGCAGCAGTCGTACGACGGCTGCTCGGATGGAGGTGGCGGTGGCGGAGGAACCTTCTTGGGCACTGGTAGAGAGGCTGCGAACTTCTTCGGCGGAGGCTCGCCGCGTGGCCACGGACCTGGCTGCCCCGAGGCCGTCCCTGACGATGACCAAGCCCTTGGAGTCGCTGGTGTCCCTCCGGATGCTGTCGGTACTGCTCCCCAGGGAGTTGAAGGGGCCTTGACAGGAGGAATCGGCCCGGCAGATCCGCTGGTTCCGCCTCCCTGGGATGGAAGCGCACCGTGCACGATCGGAGGCATTGTCATCGGCTGAGCCGCCTGAGCCATCGGTGCGTCCCAGGTATCGCCATCCTTCGTAAACTTGACCAGAGACTCTCCTGGAACTGTGGCCGCCTCGGACTCGGAGGATGCTTCCGTGACCACTGCTTCTCCTTCTGGGATAGCTGCTGGACGACGGTTCCGAAGCAGCTCCTCGGTTGCTTCCTTGGCCCCCGGAGTCTTCTTCTTCCCAGTGTTCGCAAGCACCACGAGGGTCGAAAGAACTGTGACTAGGCTCCGGTGGCCCATGCTCTCTGAGATGTTGGTCTGCTGAGAGACTGGTCCCACGAGAACTGGTGGGGCTCGCTGAAAGAAGGCTCGAGCCAAAATGGGCTACGGACCCTGGCTTCCCGAGCGCCGCCCCTGGACCCTGAGACCCCCTCCCCTGACAGGCCCTGTGCGTGACCCTCTGCTTCCAGGACATCACCTTAGCAGTTCTAGGGAAATCTAAGCCCGCGGTCGTCCCGAGGGCCACCCTCTGAGGCCGTGGCTTCGGGATCCCCTGGAAGACCTTCGGGCAGTTTCCCTCCTTGATGCTCTGGAGGCCCTGGATGACCGTGATTAGGCATGAGGGGATCCGGGACTTGGGGCTCGAAGGTGACCGTAGTATTTTGAATCTGTCGGAGGCCGTCCTGGAGTCGACGCGATATGTTGAAATCCTGGAGGCCCTGGTTCCCGAGGGAGTCCTGATGTTCTGAACCTCCGTCTCCAGGATTGCCTGGATCGGCTTGACGATGGTGATGATCGGGAGGATGGAGGTGATCATGAGGAGAAGGATAATGATATCACCTCGCAACTCGCCACTCTCGAGCAGTACTGGAGGCGAACGGCCTCCCAACTGAAAGGCTTCCTTTTCAAGAAATGGGTGCCTGCTGCGTGCCGAGTCCAGCACGCGGACTTCTCCAAGGTCCTGAACGATCGTCGCCATGCGGTGCCCAGAGCCTAGATAGACGCGTCAAGGTCACGCTCTGCTCATGCTGAACTGTACAGCATGACCAGATCCTGGAGCCTAGAGGGTCCCACTGTACATGCTGTTGCGAGGGAGATCGATCACGCATGCCAGGTAGTCCAGCAGATTCACGCTCAATATGTGCGGGACATCCTCGGCCAAAATGGTCTTTTCGATGATGCCCAGCACGCCAGCAAGGCAAAGAGGGAAAAGGATGCTGAAGATGACCTTGGCAGGTCCTCCGACCCCATGTGCTGCTCGAGGCCGTTGCAGATCCTTGGGAATCAGCTCGATCTTCAAGTCGCAAGAGCCTGGGACTCGCGGTTGAGGGTCGCGAGGCCCGCGAGGTCGCTCCCGGCACCTGGATCTATCAGGGTCTGGGACGGCAGCGTCACCAGGAAGTCACCTCCCTACTGGATTCTGACCTGCACCGCCTTCACTGGATGAGCTGCCCGTCGGAGATTTCCCTCGAGGCACCCTCGCAGCTGGCGAACGCGTACCCGGCCAGGCTCTGGCGCTTGTGGGGGCCCTGTCCGGTTACCCGCCGTCCTGCACTGATTTTGGGGTACTCTCGTCCCCAGTGTCCTTCTCGTGGCACAGCTTGCACTTCGTGATCTTCATCAGCGCCTCGATGGCGAGCCGTCCGTGCGCTGCGTCTCGGCCGCGGCCGCGACCCCGTCCTCGGCCGCGTCCGCGGAAACGACCGCCTGCTGGCGCCCTCGCCGGAGGTGCTGAACCAATTGTTGCCACTTTCGAGGGCTGCTGGGAGGCCAGCATAGTGGTTACTCGCCGCAGACTCAGATTCGACCTCGCCATCCCTGGGGGGCTGCGATCTGTGAAACTGTCGCCACCTTCGAGGGCTGCTGGGGGGCCAGCATAGTGTGCACTTGCCGACGCCTCAGATTAAGACCCGCCATCCCTAGGGCGCTGCGGTCTGCGAAATTGCCGCCACGTTCGAAGGTTGCTTGGGGGCCAGCATAGTGTACACTCGCCGCAGACTCAGATTAGACCTCGCCATCCCTAGGGGCTGCGATCTGTGAAACCGTCGCCACTTTCGAGGGCTGCTGGGGGGCCAGCATAGTGGGTGACTCGCCGCAGATTCAGTTTCGACCTCGCCATCCCTGGGGGGGTGCGATATGCGAAACTGTCGCCACGTTCCAGAGCTGCTGAGGGGACCTTGAGTTTCTTTCCCGCGGGCCGCCCGCAGACCTGGCGGCGCGCCTGCGGGCGTTCAGCTCACGCACTGAAAGGCGACGGAAGGAGGCGGATAATTTTGCAGGCGAGCTAGGTCTCGCTCGCTTCTTGTACTAACTATAAAAAGGTCTGATCTTGTGGAGCGTCGCAGCGACATCGCGCAGGCAGCGGTGCGTGTTTAGCCAGCTATTGAAGACCGCGGTACTCTTTTGTTTCCTCCCACCACTTTTATCGTCACCCCATTCCCCCTGTCAAATTCTCCATGCTGCTGCTGCCGCGATGGCTTCCCGCCCCCAAAATTCCGTCATTATCCTGCCTGTCGTTCCCGCCCCCGTTCTTCTTCAAGCCTGGGGCCCCAATCTTCGTCCTGTCGATCGCTGTCCTGTGGATCGTACAGCGCGCGCGCATCCCGTGTAGCGTGCACAACAAAATCGCCGCGCCTGAACTGCCGTTGTTCCTGCCAACCTTGACCTACGTCTCTTTCCACTCGATGCACATGGGTTGGGTACGTCGCAGGGTAATGTGATTATGTTTTTTCGGAGTGCCCACCTGCACGGGAATTCAGTGTCCTCCTACGCGCCCCCCAGGTGTATGATTGCATTGTTGTTGTTGGGGATCTCGTGGTCCAAATCAGTTCCATCCTGTGGCTTTCCTTGGGCTTCAAAGAGAAGATGGACAGAACACTCTTTTGGAAGAGCTGGTCCGCTAGACCCCCGATTGTGCCCAGAAGGTTTGTGGGATCATCCGCCTGTATGATTGCAGGCGCGACAACTGTTGCTGACAGTCGCCCCGTAAGGCAGAAGAGCTAGGTCAGGGCCGTGTTTCCAAAGTCCGCCCTGGCTTATCCCGCCACGCCTGTTTGCCTGCTGCCAACGAGGCGCTCCGGGCAGGGATGACTCCGATCGTGAGCTACTGGAGCGCCGATGACATGCTGTGGATGGATGGCGCCGGGAAGGATGCCCTCTTCTGGCTTGCCTGCCAGTCCGCACCATGCCGTGCAGAGCCGCGGTAGGGCAGTCGAGCGCACGGGGCAGGTTCTCCAATCACGCACGGATTAGTCTCTTTCCCCCGAGAGATTGGTTTTGGGATTCCTCTCTCTTGCTTGTGGGCTCTGCAGCTTGATGCCCCCCAGTGCTTGAAGCATTCTGACCTCCCTCGTTCAGGGGTGCGTTTGGTAGACGTGCTCTGCGCTCCAGTCCCGAGCACTCAGCACCACCGCAGCCGCACCAGCACTACTAACGCCACCGCTGGTGGGGCGGCACTGCGTGGCCCTCCTCGCCGTCCCTCCTCCCTCTTCTTTCAGCGTTGCTCTGCACAGGGCTCGAGCGAAGCTGTGCTTTGGCGATCACGTGGACCGTCGTCGTTTTGATCTCGTTGTGCAGCAGATGCGGAGCGAGGGCAGGACGAGGGAGCACGGAAACAACACGAACACGGCAATCCCGGTTCTGCTTGCGCCCTGCTCAAGTACATGACCGCTGTTGGTTGTTCAAATTATGCGCGCAGCCTCCCCACTTTCTTTGGGCCCAGTCGCTTCTGCCAGGGAATGCAGGGATCGTGCACGAATGAGGAGGGCACGGAGGAGCACCCAGAGGGGAGGCGGAGGCGGCCAGGAGGGACGAAGTGCTTGGAGGATGGAGGAGGCCCTGGAGGTGGGGGTCGAAGATTTGGGGAAAGTTCGCAGGATAAGGAGTGGAGGAATAGGCGGAGGAGGAGAACGAGGAGGTGCGGGATGATGTTGATGAGGGGGGTGGTTGAGGAGGAGGAGGACGGGGACGAGGACGAGGAGGAGGAGGAGGTTGACGAGGAAAAGGGGAGGAATGCAAGTGAGGTGCGAGGAAGGTGATGTGATGGCGTGTGGCTTGTGAGGGAAATAGGAAGGAAGAGGACTCAGAGGAGGAGGGGAATCAGGAATACGGGCAGTTGCGGGTGGATGTTCAGATGGAGGAGGTGGAGGAGGAGGAGGAGGAGGAGGAGGAGGAGGAGGAGGGCGGCGACGACGACCACGAAGACATCGACGACGGCGACGACGAAGACCTCGACGACGACCAAGATCACGGGCTGAACGCCCCTGAGGGGACAGGCACCGGCCCACTTTTGCCAAACGTGGTCGATGTGATGCCAGGTGGGGTGATCGTGAACAGACTTTGGGAGGCATGGTGGAAGCAGGAGATGGCCACGTAAACAGCTAAACTCTATTTGGTTTTCGATGCAGTTTAGCTTCGTCAGGTCTCCGGCTCAACGTGATTCGAAGAAGGCATCAGGAGGGCCCCAACAACGGGCCGCAGTAGCCCAAGATTGCCCCAAGGGGCCCCCGAGACAGCGCAGGAGGGCCTCCGGAGAGGTTCCAGACGGCGCCCGAAAGCGTCTGGAAGTCTCACGCGTGAAGACATGCGTGATTGTGGCACAAATTGGCGGGAAGCGTGCACCCAGGATGCAACTAGGGCCGCTGGGCTGGCGGAGTGAGCAGGCCGCGGGGAGGACCCCAGGAGAGGGAGAGGTTTCTAGGCCTGTGCGGAGGGAGTGTGTACGAGAAGTGTGTAGGTCACAGGGTTGAGCATAAGCAGTCCTTGCAGACCATGATGCCAACGAAAACAACGATAGCGACGACGACCACACTGACAACGATAACAACGAGGATGATCACAACAACAACGATAACACACAACGATAATGATAACAACGATCACTGCGATAACAAAGACGATCGCAACGGTCATGGGACTGAGCAAACACAGCCCTTGCAGAACATGACGCGGGGATCTTTCGCGCCGTACCAGATGGCGCGGCGGATCGCTCCGGTCACTCCGCCAGTCCCTGTTGCATAGCATCCTTGGCACTCGCTCGTGTGCTCGCGGGCGACACCACTGTGCACAGGTTTCCTTGGCATCGCTCGGACGTGTGCGTTTTTTCTCGGGTGTGACCATCGAGAAACATCTAGGATCATCTTTCGACAAAAACACACGACACCGAACACATAATGGGAAATGTACGTCCGAACGATGGCAGGTTTCGTGACCTGTCCCTTCTGGGTCGCCTTATCCTTATCCTCCTAATCTGGGGCTTTTGGTGCCCCTCAGAGCAGGCCCCCCGGCCGGCTCCAGTCTTGGGTGCGTTCACCGAAGGGCTTCGCTTTTGCAGGTGGGCTTCGTATGAGGGTGGCTCTTCTGCCCTCCGTCCCTCCCTCCCCCGCAGCCAGCCCCGCTCTTATCCCCCCTGGAGGCAGAGCGTCCCCCCTTTCCGCCCTGGCCTCTTATCGAAAACGCCTACGGCGAATCACCGCCGCCCCCTGCCTTCTAGAATCGCCCATGTGGCCGAGCGTTGTTGCAAGAGCTCTGCCAAGCTATCGGACCATGTGTTCCTCAAACCGTTGAACCTTTCGGGGAACACTTGTGGGAGGATGGCGGGGAATATCAGGAGGAGGCGGAGGAGGAGGTGGATGAGGAGGAGGAGGAGGAGTCAGTATGGGAATGACCTGCCATTCCCACTGTGGACTACTGACCACGCGCAGTACAGTAATCTTGTCAACGCCTCTGGTCAGACACGGGCGGCCCAGTTTTCTCTTAGGCTGAGGCTACATCCTTTGAACAGGACAGCCGATTTACATCATGGCAGCCCAAACCTTTTGGCGCCCAAACGCCACGTTTTTTCTTACGCACCAGTGCCTAGACTGGCCCAGCAAACGCGGTACCATTCTTTCTAACATGGCTAAGGCTACGCCCATAGCCATCTGACCGTTGTTTCTCCATGCTGCTTTAACTTTGAAGGCAGTACTCGTTGGAAGGTGGGTTTCTTAATGTTGTCGGCGGGGGGGGGATCATTTACTGTCTTCTTCTTGTTCTACAGCGGAGGGCACGTGAGCAGTCTGCCCAAGTGCCCGCTGTTGCAACTACTCACTTGCTATTCCTGCCCACGCAGCATGTACCTCAAAGGTGGGACTTGTTGTTCATGGTGACTTGTTTCGTACTGCTTGTGTTACTCCAAGGTGCATGCTGGCACTATGTTCGCCTGCATGCGTGCCGTTCTTTGCATATCACTAATTTCTTTACCAACCGAGGGGGCGCCACCAATTAAGCTACGGGCCTAACCCTTTATGCTAATCATACGTTCATATTTTACTAGGGGCGCTATTCACTAGGTGTGCGCCGGCCTCGAGGGCCTGGCCGGCGCCTACTATATGTTTCTCTTCTCTTCTCTTCCATGCTTTTTCCTAGTTATTTTCCGCGGCGCCCGCCAGATGTCTTTCGAACCTACGGTCTCTGTGCCTTTTTGTTCGTCAGTCTTCACTAACGCCACAGCGTCACGCTAAGGTTAGTTTGGCGCAAGAAGGGGGATGAGGAGGAGGAGGAGAGGGAGGAGGAATAAGAGGAGGAGGAGGAGGAGGAGGAGAAGGAGGAGGAAGATGAGGAAGAGGAAGAGGAGGAGCAGCAGGAGGTGGAGGAGGAGGAGGAGGAGGAGGAGCGGGAGGAGGAGGAGGAGGAGGAGGAGGAGGAGGAGGAGGAGGAGGACGAGGAGGAGGAGGAGGAGGAGGAGGAGGAGGAGGAGGGGGCATCTTGGGAGCCTATGGGGACACTATTAGGGCCTCCTGGCAGCTTCATGGGAGCCATTTGGAGGCATCTTGGGGGCCTCGTTGGGCCTCTGGGAGTCCTTTGGGGGCTTTTCGGGGGCCTCTTTGGCCGTCTTGGTGGGCTTTTGGCCCGTCTGGCGCCGTCGGAAGCCGTCTTGGGAGCCTCTGTGGGCCGACTTGGGGCCCTCTTGGGAGGCCTCTTGGGCCGTCTTGGGGCTCTCTTGGGGCCGCCTTGTGGGCCTCTTGGGCCGTTCTGGGCCATCCTGGAAGCCTCTCGGGCGATTTTGGGGCGATCTTGAGGGGCTTGTTGGGCCGTCTTGGCCCGTTGGAAAGGTGAAAAATAGCAAATTCGAATATCGTTCAAAAACCAAGGGCACATCAATTTTTTGAGCATCTTCGGGCCCTCCTGGAGGACTTCTCAGATGCATTTGGGGCCGTCTTGGAGGCCTCTTGGGCACCTCTTTGGCCGTCTTGTGCCTTCTTGGAGGGTTCTTGTGCGGACTTGGAAATATTTGGGGCCCTGTTGAAGGTTAGTTACTGCTGCCGCGGCGTCCATCTGCCTCCTTTCCCGATGCCGTTTTCTGGCACGAGCCCTCCCGACGCAAGGACGGAGGGAGGGCTTGGCCTTTCCGGCCTGCCCGCGGCGGGGCACGACCGCTCGTGTGAGACAGCTCATCGCATCGACATTGGTAGCGGAGCTGCCGTCGAGCGGGTTCGATCCACGGCACGGGGTGCCGTCACGAGGTTCGCGGCGGAAGAGTCTCGGCGAGGCCTGCCCCAGTGAGGAACCAGCGGCATGTCCTCAGCAAGGGACGTGGACGCTTGGGCGGCAGCAGCTCGAGCCCCGGCACGGCGCGCTGAAGCGGGGGGCAGCCCCCGGGGCAGCGGCCCAGGAGAGGACGGCGGCTTCCAATCGGCCGGCGACAGAGCGTGGGCCGGTCGCGGCACGACGCTGGAGCGCGCCAGATCGACCCCCCCGCGGCGCGGGGGGCCCCCCGCGGCCGATGCGTGGAGTCACTGCGGCGGACGGGGCGCGTCGAGCGACTGGGGCACTCGCGGACTCCCTTGGCCTGAGTGGGGAAGTCCGCGGTCCGAGGAGAAGGGGCTTCGGGGCCCCTTCAGGCCGGGGCCTGGTGCGATGCCCGCCTGGCGCGGGTGGGCGACGGGGGCCGACCAGGGTCGGGATCGGACATCCAGCGAGCGGTCGATCGGAGGGGCTGGGGCGGCTGGCGAGTCGTCGGCGGAGCCGCCAGAGACGGCGACAGGCGCAACAGGGGAGACGAGAAGTATGTCCCCGAGTGGGGCGGGAAATCCGCGCCACTCCGCACCTGCGAGCGCCGGGTGGGGATCTACGAGCTGCGCGCTGCGATCCCGCAGCGGCGGCGGGGCGG